AAAGCAAAGGAATATGGGGCTAGTGATGACCAATGTAGTTTGTTGGCCCTAAAACTTAAAAATAAATACATAAAAAAATAAAAAATATTTCCATTTGACTTGTAGAATAACCTCTTAATAACGAAGTATTGGCTTCTGTTTAGTGACCGTTAGTTATTATTTGGAGATCGTGAGATGCGGCATGGTGTGACGTAGGTTTTAGAAAAACATTTTCTTTATCGTGCCAACGTTTCGACCTTTTATTGTTTCGTGGTCCGCTTGATCAAATAAATTCTTTTCAAGTAATTAAGGTTTTAGTTGATATAAAAAAGTCAGTGTCACAATCGGGATTCGAACCAACTACCTTCGGCTAAATACTCAGCTGCTCTACCACTTGAGCTATCGTGACTTCGATCCACTCGGACACTAACTATCCATCTCAACTCTACCTTTTTAATTTTCCCTCCTTTTTGCTATTTTTTTGTTTCGACCTTTATTGAGATCGTCTTCAGGGCCTGGGATTTATAAACATTGTTTAAATTTTACAAATTAGGGAAAGACGGGGATAATTAGGGAAAGTAAAGCCAAATTGTTGAAGAATTAGACTAAGTAGAAATGTTTGATGTGTGGAATGTGATGAGTGTTTTATATGTTATATGTTTTGTGTGATGGGATGATGATATATGTATGTTATCGAAATTGAATTTGATTAATGATATTAACGTAACCCACATCTATATAATCCTGAAAGGAGAATCAGGCCGAACCATTACCCATTTTTTTCCATTGTCGGCTTCTTTCACTTCACAGAAGCCGCTTCCTAATATAAAAATGTCTTTCTATCCCGGCTTCCTTCCCCAATCCTTCAAAATCCAACGTATATAAACGTAAAACATCAATATCTCACTGGCACTCTCAACACGACACAGAAGAATGTCACATCTACACGGAAAACAAACACTTTGAGTCAGTACAAATACTTTGATTGAATCTAACATTTCTAGTATTGTATAAATTCATTTTTTCACATCCTACATGCATTTGTAAAATTTAAACAATGTGTATAAATCCCAGGCCCTGAAGATGGTCTCAATAAAGATCGAAACGGCACGACGAAGAAAATGTTTTTCTAAAACCTACATCACACCAGACCGAATCTCACGATCTCCAAATAATTCTATTTTTTCTTTACTAATATTTATGTATGACAGGCATACGTGAACGTTCATTTGCGTAAGTACTTTGAAATAATGGTTTCAACACTTTAAATTGTTTAATTAAACAACTTGTACACGATGCAATTATCTTTCTGCAGAAGGGTTAATTTGTGCCTAGGCATAGCCACTTCGACAAAACGGGAAATAATAGGGTTTGTAGTTAATCCAGCATGTCTCGGCCCTCGTTTGATCTCAAGACGCCACAGGCAGTTTCCACTTTCTCGGTTTCTTGGGAAAAGTCAAACATGTCAAGTAGGAAAAGTCCATGACGCCGAAGTTGTTTCATATTAATATATAATTACTGTACGTTGATGTTGATGGATTTTTTAAAATGTTTACATTCTACATTTTCGAAGTGTATGGAGAGGGTGGCAGTAATTATATCTTCATAAGATCTATTCCAAACTTTATCGTTTTTATTATTTACATTTATGTATCATTCAGTTTTATCACGAAAATTTATTCAAAGTATACAACCGAGTACGATTGGCGAGAAAAAAGCCCCCTGTTTGGTAATTTTTGTCACGGGAGTTGAATTTGCGATGTTTAAAAGCTGTTCAATTTAATAAACCTTCTCGAATTCTCGCTGAACAAGAATCTCCAATCAACGGAAAATTGTTTTTCACTCTAGCATCCTTACTAAAGCTGAAGAAATAAGATATTGAAGTCGAGAGCCAATAAAGGAGGTTGCAAAGCCCTTTAGATCAAGATCAGCTGTTCTCTTCTTTCAAAGATGTCCCTTTTGATCTATATAAGTTTTCATATCCTTTGTGAAAATTAAATTGATGTATTGTGTACATGTTATAGCCAATATGTGCACTATAAGAATCTTTCATTACTTCTTATTAATTATCTATGTATGGTTAACCTTAGTATTGTAATCAACATTTTTCAAACTTGGTTAAATATTTCTATCGTACGGAAAAATGGTTTATTTTGTTAATTGCTGAATAATATCCTATCCTAATAAAGAGTGAATTAATTCACCTTCATTGGATTATCTATTTGTAACTTTCCCCATATCCTATAAGCTTGTGATCTCATATATTCCGAGTATTATGGGTTATGAATGGGACGGTCTAAATCTGAGAGATTATCATGATGATTCTCAGTAATTTAGCTTTTTCTCATTTTTCTTACTAATCTGGGTGGATTAGGAAAAACGACGACGAATCAAGTCGAAATAATTATCTTGTCCGGCTTTTATACGCAAATCGCATAATAATAATTTTTCTCTTTAGCTCTTTTCATATGCCCAGGTACATTAATCATGAATATAATTGAAAGAATACGCCATCTATTGATCCCTTTTACTCCAAGTAGTAGCCGTTTTCCTGGCACCAACCTATGATAATATTGGGTTGTCCGGAAAATAATGCAGGATTTTGGTATTAAACAAAAAAAAAGAAACTAGTTACTTTAAAGCAATGTTCTTTAATCAAAATAATTTCNTTGACATTCATACAAATGAGTAATCCTGTAAACGTAAACAGAATATTTTATATAGATTTTTTTTAATGAAAACTTAAAATCCTGCATTATTTTCCGGACAACCCGATATATGGTGTTTAGTGACAGTTTGTTAATGATTATGTGGAGATCGTGAGATGCGGTCTGGTGTGACGTAGGTTTTAGAAAAATATTTTCATTATCGTGCCAACGTTTCGATCTTTATCGAGATCATCTTCAGGGCCTGGGATTTATAAATGTTGTTTAAATTTTACAAATACGCATCCTACATTGTAAAATTTAAACAATGTTCATAAATCACATGCCCTGAAGATGACCTGAATAAAGATCGAAACGTTGGCACGATAAAGAAAATGTTTTTCTAAAACCTACGTCACACCAGACCGCAACTCACGATCTCCAAATAATCCTATGATAATAATCTGAAATTTAATCATTGGAATATCTTTGATGTATTTTGTAATAATTCTGTATATGTTGTGGCAAAACAAATCATTTACAAAAAACTGCGATATCTTTTAAATGGTATGCTTGGTAAGATAGGATTTTTATTCGTGAAGTAGGGAACAACCGAAAGTAAAAAATGAAAAGTTGATTTCATCCTTATTTTACATACTTACATGAACGGAGTCACCCCCAGGATTGATGCGGATTGGGGGTTGACACGCTAGGGGTAATGGCTCAGCTGGGGGCGGGAGTGACCTCCTGTCCGGACTCTTTATCGCCGGAGCGACGGGGGAGGTACTGGTTGAGGACCTTTAGGTGTTTCTGAGACATTGGTTAGTAAAGAAGGACTCCTAACGACTCTCTTAAGGTCAAAAGATAACTCATATGCGATCTTTTAATTGCTTTTGAATAATATTTAATTTTAATTTGTACAGTAGAGGTTTTTGGTTTCGAACTGAATTTTGTTGATGGGCTGGCTTGTAGATCCTAAAGGTGTTGGGTCTGAGGTGTAAAATATGTATTCTTTTAAACAAATTTTTTGAGGTTGTATTTATCTTTCTTTTTATTTTGATTTATTTCCCCGGGCTGATTTTGGTTTTTATTTCAATTTGGGGGATAGGTTGATTCACGCAAAAGGGTCCCTTTCGGGCCATATCGATTCAGAGCATCATAAACATAAAATTGTTTATCAACATAAAATTGAAACCTTGTCACAAAGACTGAAAGAGGACACTCGAAACTTTCATGCAGTTTTGATAACGTTGAATTTGGATGAAATTTTTAATTTTTAATTGCTATGAAAAATATTATGTAAGGTTTTTATGGGCTACTTAAAACTAATGAGAACTTTTGTTTTCAATAAAAATGATTTTGGTCTTCTTTATTATAAACATCCTTTGGTTTTTCTTAAACGTTTTCTATACCTAATCCTGTCTAGTACAATCCTACATATTACTTTTTTATCCTACCTAAAAGAACAAATCGACTGGCATAGAATCCTTGAAATATATGCATAGCAAAGGCTAAAACCCCAAAATGAGACATGACCGCAGCAATATGAATAATCAGGGTTCCTGTCTTACCATGCTTATAACCCTGATTTTTTTTGTCACCGTGCTGGAGAAAACTTCTTTAAAAATGGTTTAAGTTAAAATTCATATTATATTTGTAAATGTGGATCAGCTTGAAAAAAACATTCATAATTGAGGTGTTACTTTAATGTTTGTGAATGTGAATGGTTTTATTTATATTTTTATTGCAGGAAAACTCGTTCAAAGGGATTTTATACATTGTAAAATAAACATTCCTTAATATAAACGAACCAAACCATAAAAATTGTTACACAGGATGTAAAAAGTAAAATAAATGTAATGTAATAACTAATAAAATGTCATAGCGTAAGGTAATATGAGTATAAAAAAGGCATACAAAAAAAGAACAATATAAAACTACAACTCTACATATAGTACAGAAAAGCCCAAGTTTAGGTTTTTATAAATGTTCTCTTTTTTTAATAATACCTGAAAGAAATACTAAAAGTTATATGGGCTATATATAACATGTAATAAACGGTAAAAGGGTTGAATTATGAGCCGGATCAAAGTTAAAGTCATAAGCCCGATATCTTCCGTGTGTAAGGAGAGCTTTACAGTCCTCGGAAGCACCACGAGGTTGCTCTGACGGTCAGTGAAACCTGATGTGCTTTTAATGAATGAAATAAACGACCTCGCCCCTCCATTCATCCTGTTTCGGCTTGGTAAAATTAACTTGTAAGTTATTTAAATTAAATTGACTAAAATGATTGCTGTTTCGTTTCATTTTGCCTCGTGACGCCCATTGTTTTTTCTCTTTTCTTTTCTTTTTAGTAGCAAATTCTCACCTGCTCACCTCTGGCTAGGAGTACACTGCTGTTTGCTTCCAATGACTCTCTTGTATAACGTCAACGCGTTGTGAAGGATGTTCAAAACGGACATGGCGTGCACTGATGACAGCACATCTAAAAAAAATTAAAACAAATATAGCGTGATTTAAAAAAGTGTCAAAATTATTTCATTCATACTGTAAATGACAAAAGGCAAATGATCATTAATATTATGCAATGAATTTCCTAGTGACAATGTCTAAGTGCCAGTGTGCGTATGTTCACGCGCTCAGTGCGATTAAAATGTTAATTTGTCCGTAATTTTCTAGTTTATTTGTGCGCGCCTGTTTTTTATTGTTGAAGACTTAAGAAAGAAAGAAATACCTAAATGAATTTACATATACCTTCATTTATTAGCGAAATGAGCGAAGTTTCAATCACTACATTTCTATTTTGTAGCAGAATGATCTAATAAATCAAAGTCAAAATTTAAAACCGGGTTAGCAATGACATTAGGTGATAAGCAAAGAATTTATGATGTTCGTGAGAAGGTAGGTCAGATTTGTCAAATTTAATGGATATTTATGTCCGGAATACAAAGAAAACTTCAGATAGCTCACGACGATATATTACAGCCTAGAGACCTGTGGTAACATTGCTAGCTAAGTTTTCCTTTGAAGGGAAACGCATTTGTACTAGTTATTATGTTACTTTGCTGCGATTCAAGAGAAACAATGCACAAAAATTAACTTTGACCATTATCGGCTTAAAAAACTTCTGCTTGTAGTTTTATAACGAAATTGTTTGGATAAAATAAATAAAACCACATCTAAAGATTGTGCAATAAGTTAGGGCTGAATTCAGAGGATCTTATACAATGAATTCATCATTTCTAAGAACCAAATTCCATCATGACTTTATCAACAAAACGCGGCTGCCGAGGAAAAGTGGCCTGCTTTAAGTCGATTTTCTCTATGGTGAAACAAGACCTCATATTTTTGATGACTCGTAAAAAATTGCAGCAGAGGTTTAATATAAAGGCGCCATGTTGGTTGAATGTCTTTAGTTTATCATATCTTCCCGTTATTAAATTATCAACAAATAAACTTAAAAAATAAAACAATGATTATACTAAATATTTTATTGTCTAAAAAATATTAAGTGAAAATAATTAATCATCCATCATTAGATCATTTTTTTTATTCAATGACAGAATTATAAATTGATTTTTTGTACCCATTCTCGTTAAATAAACAAAAAAGGTTTTTATATTAACGGAAATATTGAATAAATCAGTGAAAATCATTGGGTTTAATCTGCGAGGCGGTTGTTCAATTCTGTAAGTTTGTCCGTTCTTGCTTAAACCCTAACAAAAGTTCAATCAGTATTGCGTTCTACCCACCGGTCAGTATCGATCGTATAGCTGATACTATTTCCAAACAACTGTATAACATTGTACTTCGACTTCCATAAAGGTTCGAAAGAAAGAGTAGATCCAAAAACACACAGTTTACACTGTTGAAGGTAAAAGGTAGCAAAACGAAGGTGGTTCTTATATGTATAGTATTTTTTTAATCGTTTTATTATACGTTTCACTTTAAAATTAGGAGTAACGAATGAAAAAATTTAAGATTAAAGACTATTTCATTATTATATCTATTTCTTAGCAAATTTTATAAAGGAAAAAACAATTACACGCTACTAATAAAAGTCAAAAGAAAGAGAGGGGAACGTTCTTTGAATTATTTGACTAATTTCGTAATGAAAAGATATCCATAAAATAATTGCCAATCACATATGTTTAGAAAAAAATAGAAATTTGGCGTAAAAACAAAATTGTAAAACTCTGTTTAACTAATTTTTTGTCAGACACATATACTCTCTCTTTCTCTCCTTTTCTCTTTCTTAGTCTTTCTTTTTTCACTTTCTTTCTGTCTAGTTTTTCTTTCAATCTGTCAATCAGTCTGTCTGTCTGTCTCTCTCTCTCCCCCTCTCTTTCTTTCTTTCATTTTTTCTCTTTCTTTCGTTTCTGTATCTATTCTTTCTTCCGTTTCCTATTTTTTGCACCGTCCACCACAGTATGTGTGGTGTTTAGTGACCGTTAGTTTATTTGGAGATCGTGACATGCTGTCTGGTGTAGGCACTCTCAATACGACACACAAGAATGGCATATCGACACAGAAAACAAACACTTTTAGCCCTGAAGATGATCTCAATAAAGATCGAAACGTTGGCACGATAAAGAAAATGTTTTTCTTAAACCTACGTCACACCAGAATGCATCTGACGATCTCCAAATAATCTATCACAATATATTCACTTCTTTAAAAAGTTAACTACTTCTGTAAGTCTGTAAAATAACTCTATATTCCGACATTGACATGTCCGCTCACACTTACCTCTGCACGGAAATGAAATCACTCCCACTAGTAAAAGAGATAAAGCCATGGAGTAAGAGGTTTTAATACATGAATGTATGCATTTTTTGTAGAACTATTAAAATCATTTTCTATTACATTGATACTCCTCCCGACTTTCAAAGAACAGCAAACGGGAAAGTCGATAATTCAAATGTCGGGTTCCATTTAGAACAGTAGATTTTAAAATACGTAATATTAAGCTAGACACCACGTTCTCCGAGTATCGATATTTAATCCTAAATGTTCTTTTTAATTGTTAATGTTTTTATTTTATTATTAATGTAATTGTTCTTGGGCTTAAGCGACGAATCCCAGGTTCTATCATCCCAGAGGAGTTGGAAACGGCTGTTCTTGACGAATTTGGAAGAATTCCACAGGATTTTTACCAGAAATCTTTTCTAAAGAATGCAAAGGCGTTTAACGGACGTGATTCCACGCCAGAGATGTAAGTACACGGCATTTTTTGGTACGCAAAATATAAATAAACCTAAACACATTAAAATTTAAGGGTGGTGCGTTAATTATGCCCATCAGGGTATAATAATTTTTAAATTAACAACATTCGATTCAAAATAAATATTACAAATCATTAAATGACTCATCAATAATGAAATATAATTTATTCCAATGCAATTTTATTTGTTGATAGTGTATTGCGAATCGGAAGAATATTAAAAAATTACACAACGAATAACGTAAACATATATTACAGTTTCTAATGGTGGATGATTTATTTTATGTATTCAGCATTTTTTGACACAAATAAATAGGTAAATTCCTATAATTCATGACAGTCGTGTGTTGATTCTTATAAAAAAATCTACTGAGGAAGAGATTTAAAGTTCCTCATAATGCATTACATATATGGAAAAAGCTGCAATAGAAAAATAACCCAAACCTCAAAAAGCGACGTCCAACAAAACGCATGTACTGTAACTGATATATTTTCCTTTATTCATTTAATTTTTGAGAAAAAGGTTGAAGTACTACTTTTTCATAAAAAACTTTATTTTTGTCAATACCTTATTTTAGCTGAGGGGGATTAAGAAAGCTTTATGAAAGTATAACAAACCTTACGTTTACCGTGGTGTTTAGCATTTAGTTATGCATGTTATTTTATTAATGCCAATTTTTCTTTGTGGTATGAAAGTTACTCAACTTCTTTTTTTAGTTAAAACATTTTTTGCCAAGAGATTAATGTTTTTGTGGATTAAAGAAGCTCACGGGTGAATAATAAATCTTGGTACGGGTCTTTAAAGTTTCTCATAAGAATCTGTACAACCGCTTAATACTGTAGGATGTTTGGCAAAGGGACTGAACTATAAAGTTCTGAAGATATTTGAGTTTGGGGTTCTTTATTCCTTGGGCAAGTAAAGCTTAAAGGTTGTTTTTCATCTTTGCTTTCTCCCTGTTCACAGCTTAATATTTTACTTTGCAAATCATTTTTACAGGGCTACTCTCTTTTTTTTATTAATGTCCCCATTCTTTAATTTTAGTTTTTAATTGTGTTTCGCTTTTTATTGTGATTTTATTGCGTTTGTATGACGTTATAAAATATAGATTCAAAATAATATTTGCATTTCAGAGTGAAAGTCGAGACCCTTTCCTCTCCGGAGGTGCCGTCGTTGAACAAGTTGTTAATTAAAGTATAGAAACGGGATACGAAGCGGGTTTTTAAAAGGGGCGCCCTAATTAGGGCCGACCTCGGGGGTCGCAACCCCTTCTTGTTTTATTAAAACTCTAGAATTAAGGCTCAATGAGGGTAATAATTGGCGAAATATTCTCACCGATAACGCTCTCCTCATGCTCGACGATCTCAGCCGCTAAGGTTCTTCTGACTTGCTCCAGATGTTCTCCAGCGGCGTGACGCCAGACCGATCCAAGCCTCTTGGTCGTTTTTGCACATTTGCTTCTTTTTGCTCCGTTCTTAGTCTCTGTCTCTTCAGTAACCTCTTTCGTTGGGAAGTTTTTTTTCTCAGCTCTGAACACAAACATAAATAATATGAAACTGAATACTTTCTACTGAAATTTTCATTGTTTAATATATATCATAAATATTTATTTTGAAATTAATTAAATATTTAAATGACATTGTATTCACTGTTATATATGAGTGTGAGTAAATTGGGATACAGTTGCGCAGAGCATGAAAGTTGTGCGGGACTGTTGTACCACAGCGCCTTATTACTTCATACTTATAAATTCAATAAAACATATATTACACGCATATTTTGTACATATGTAGAAAAGAGGTTATGTTGTGAATAAAAAAATAATAAAAAATAAGACTAAATCAATAAATAAAAACAAGTAACACTTTAGCCTTTACGTAATATATTACATACATATCCCTGAAGTAATTAGATATGAAGAACTTATATTTTTAATTACAAAGGTATTATTGTAAGCTTTATATATAATATATATTCCGTATTTCTTTAGATATGGTAGACACTTGTTTTCAATAGTTTTATTTTTAATGGGCAAATGCTAGTCAATGGTTTATGTTTCAGTTCACCATAATATAACGTATCGAAAACGGTATGTTATTTTTTATTAATTGTACTTTCCTTCTCTTCGCCGAGATAATGGCTATTTGACTACCTCCGAAGAAGAAAAATCTTATTAATTTCCCTATTTTTCAGTGTTTTCTCTCCACTTCTAAATGATCCCTACTTCCAAACCAGTATATAAAATCTAACCTATCTCCTTTTCGAAAATGATTCACGTTCATTGAACTATCCCACGTCATAAACCATCTTCCACTCGACAAATACCTAAAAAGCTGTAGTTTTTCTTCCCTAAAATTACAATTCTATCTTTAGTATCACATATTTTTCATCTCAATGGAATTGAACCCAAATTTTCCCTCATCCGGATGATTCCAAAGCCTAAAAACCCTTATCACTATGAATCAACTTAGTGTTTAATTAGTCTACTGTGTCTTATAGGCAAATTGTCCATTCTTTCAATCTATTCTGTTGTTATTTCTGCCCACCAGTTGAGACGTACTCATTTCTCACTTCACTAGATCCAGGCTCTAGTCATCAACACCACCGTTGTTGAGCGAAAGGGGTGTCGATACAGTGTAACCCAAGATGTGAAACAAATCTTCAATCGGGAATGAAGCTCAGGGCTTATCTAAAATTTAACATAGTCCATTCTTTTACCTACTGCCTGATCCTAAACTCCTACTTAACCGATAGCTGAATTTGAAATCACCGATGACTTCTCATTATCAGCCGACTATCGCATAAATGCACCTTTGCTCTAAAGTCTAAGGATCCCGTCAGCTGATTCATGCAAACCATGTTGTATCCTTTGAACAGTTGTTGATAAACAGAAAATGCGAACTTGTAAATTTCACTTGATGGAGTAACCAACCACTGCTCCTATCTACTTCAATAATATGATAAAAACTATATTATCATAAATTGACAATATAGGTAGCGTTATTTTTCTTCTATGTGTTGTTTTTTATTATTTATCTATGTTGTTCTATGTGTTAATTATTTATCTTATTATTTATAACATTCCAAAGACGGAGTCAACAAAAACACAAAGTGCTTATATGGAATCCACATAAACGACTAAAAAAAAAACCAGAACAAATGCTTTAACATTGGGAACACCCGATGCTACGCCATGCGACGTTACCCGATGCTACCCCACGCAAATACAAACTCCGATTTTCCATAAGGTTGCATTACCCCCGTGCACATCTACCCGATGCTACCCGACGCAAATCCAAACTCCGATTTTCCATAAGGTTGCATTACCCCCGTGCACATCTACCCGATGCTATGCCACGCTATCCTACCCGACGCTCTGCGTTCCCCATTATCCAGATTTTCGTCGGGCCACATCGAGTACAGTCAAAGACAAAAGAACCGGACACTCATACTTTTATTCAAACTACATGTATTATTGTCGTTATATTAATTACAACATACTTATTTTAATATAAACCAAATTAACTGTGATTAAAAATTAATTCTTTTTTATTTAAAAAATTAATTTTAATGGTTTGGTAGAAAATTAATCAAAACACCGGAATACGATTTTTTGGTATAATGAATTTAACTAATAATTTATTGTACTCGATTCGGCGGTACATATACTAAAATTGGAACAATTTATTACCCGGTTTTGCTCATAAAATTTAATTAACAATTTATTTCATAGTTTTGCTCGTAAAATTGCACCATTTTCGTCGGGTAGCATCAGAACAGGACCCTCATATTTTTTGTAGTTTATTTCAAACTAAGTACATGTAATTTTGTCGTTGTGTTAATTATAACATGTTATTTTAATGTAAACCAAATTAAACGAGATCAAAAATGCATTTATAAACATTGTTTAATTAGATGGTTAGGAGTAACTTTATTTAAAACAATTAAGTTTAACCAACAATTTATTAGATGGTTGTGCTAATAAAATTTAACTAACCATTTATTACAAGGTTTTGCTCAAAATAGTGCATTAAGAACAAAAGATGCGTTGCGATTGTGATAGTGATTATTGTGTTAAACGCTGTGGACTGTACGCGACGTGTGCTTGCGTCGGAGAGATGGGCACACCCCACCAAAACGTGGTAAGGCGTCGGGTAGCATCGGGTAGCGTCGCATGGCGTACAATCGGGTATGTGTGTTCCTAGCTTAAGACCTCTTAAAAGACTGCTGCATCAAAAGATCAAAACTGACTCTCCACCACAAACGACTCATTAAATCTTTTTGTCACCCATTTGGACAAACAGCAGCGAACTTAAGCGAAACGTTCCAACTTATCCAATCCTAACAAACCAAAATCATCCGAACCATCGTTGATACTCCTATGACTTGCCATGTTTCTAATTTTACATTCAAAATAAGCTAAATACACAATATGTCCTTCAACAAACTAATCAAGTTACAAGAAGTTTCAAAAATAATTATCCTTTCACACAAACTCTAGGACAGAAACTTTTCATCTCTCCCTTCCAGAAATCCTCCTCTTTCCAGAAACCGTCCCAACTTCCTAAGTGACAGTGAGGGCAATACAGTTGTTTATTATTACTAAGAAATTCTCGGTTTTTCTCTAATAGTACCGTTCTTCTTCTTTTTTTTATATTTAACATTACGTGTGTTTATCAAAAATCGTACTGCAAATTATTGCAGCAGTAGGTAATTGTTTGTTATTTTTAATAATGGAAACGTGAAAACGAATTCTCACGAAACTCCGATATGGAGTGAATGGATGTAACTACGAATATGACTAATTTTGCATTATTGACGTTAAAGAGTATTCGCATAGGGTTTACATCTTGCATTCCCATGGGAGTCGAAACCAATTTTCTTAATGTGCCCTCGGTGCTTGATATGATGGAAAATCAATGAGTTCACATGGCTGTACGAATGGCAGGGACCATCGCTTGATGCATCATTGGTCTGACAGGCCTTTATTAACCTTTCCGGAAGTATGGAAGTATACTTCGATTTATGGGGTTATTTTTTTAAAATACCGTTGATCTTGTTAACGTAAACTCATGGAACATAAGTTCTAAGCACCGAATTTTTAAGGATCGTCTTGAAGTAATAAAAAACCAAAATCAAAACTACAATCAACTTAAAACACTTTGTAATTTATGATTGTGCAGCTTTTTCATAGCGAAGAGAAGTAAACAAACAACAACCGTTCTGGAGAAAAGCCAGAGATCAAATCTTCTTAGCTAAGGATCTAATATTTGGCGAAGAATCTTAGATATAACACTACGACTGGGAAGAAGGCAAATTTTCCGAAGTTACCATAGATTTCGTCAACCCAATCCGTTTACCAATTAGCACTTAAAATTTTGCGGTACTTACTAACTAAGTAATCAGAAATACATCTGGTGTGATGGCATCTGAAAAAATTAGTATCAACGGTTGGCAACCATACTGTTTGTATTGCTCAATTTTATTTGACCAATATAAGTTTTGCATTAAACATTAATTCAACAACAACGAACAATTACGATATGATTAAATTATTATAAAAACTATCAGGATAGAGAGAAAAATTTGCATCAGACTGAATTCAACATATTTGATTTTCTATTTGATTGTATTTTAGATAAAAACTAAAAACTAATTTGAAAAAATCTTTCGTTTAATTGAAGAAACAAAAATTGTTAAGCGTTAACGTTGAAAAATATAAAGAAATATGATTGCATAATGAAATATTATAAAATTTCGTAAGCACGGGCAGAGTTGTAAAAACGATTGGAAATGATTGTTAATCAAATTTTACTCTCTGATAAACATAATATCAACCTGATAAAAGCTTTTAGTTGAAAATCGCATATTGCACGAATGAAATCAATAAATACTAAAGGGTTGTTAGAACATTCGTATTAAAAAAATCGGAGATAATGTAAATTTAAACTGTCGGCAAGCATTTAGAAGAGAATAAGGATAAAAATCAATATTTTAATGCAGATTTATAGTATAAAATTTTATTATTATATTTTAATCTGGTCGGATAAACAGGTAAAATCAATTTAGTAATAAAAGAGCGACAAGACATATATACATACAAATACGTAAATAAGTGGAATATTTCTCAGATAAATCTAATAACTTATCATTAAACATAATTAAGTTGTTAAAGTTTTTATTGTTTTAACAATAACAAGTAGTTTGCTCCCTGATGAAGGAAAATGTTGATCTGCGAAATTAGTAGTTGGAACAATCTTTTTTTTTAGTAAATAGATTGTTACATGTATCTCATTGTTTTTATTTGTTGTTGTAAATTTTTAGATTATAAGTAATATTGTAAGAATATATATATTTTAATATTATAAGAAACACGAAAAAACAATTATTATATAATAAGCGCATATTTTCACGTTTCCTGTTTCCCTCTGATTCAACGTACTTAAAAATCATAAGATCTTTTAAAGACAATGACGGAAAATCAAAGTACGCGGCTCACATCTCATAAAACCATCAAGTCTCCCCAACA